GTCCAATTACCCGACGAACTGTGGTAATTGTGGTTCCAGTTTAGGATACACGACGTACAGTTGTATCCAAGCTACCCAATTTTCAAGGTTCAAGTCCTCTACGTGGTCCCCCCCCTGCTTAAGACACAAGATTAATATTAGAGAAGTAACACCCAGAGGCATAATCACCAAGAAGATTAAGAGAGTACTCACCTACGAACTCAAACCATTGCCTAAATCTAAACGCTCTCTTTCGACTAAGCCATTCGTAGGTTATACAAGGTTCTTGATAGTCAAGCGACTGACTCATCGTAATTCCCCAGTAGCAATATGCCTTTCGTTTTTATGTAATGATAGCGATAATGATATATTTAATAAATTATTTATTTATTTTTATGTAATGATAGCAATAATGATATATTTAATAAATTATTTATTTATTTATTTATTTATTATTCTTTTACTTCGCTTTATTGAATTACAATAAAATAAAAATAAAAAATGCAAAGTGAAAACTTAAATTTAGCAGATTTGCTGGCCTCACTTCAACAAATTCTTCCACCAAATTACACTTATCAAATAAAAAATTATAACGAACTTGAGCCAATAATTACTGCTGAAAATGTAAATATTGGACAAATCAACATGGATTTATATGTAGATATTAATACTAAAGAAGATGCTTTAAGTTGGTTAAATAACTTTCAAGAGATATCAAAGACTACCATGCGGTTCACCCGAACTTATCTAGTCAAGGGGTGTAAAGTTATTTTTAGAAAGACATGCCACTGCATCCATAGCCACATAGTAAAACAAAAAAATAAGAGCCATGAGATTAAAAATCCCAATAGTCAACGAAACAGAAATACAAATTGCATGGCAATATTAGATTTTAAATTAGAAAAATCTAGCCTTGTAAATTCTCATCTATTAGAGATTATTCTTCGGTTTACTCATAATCACTTGCCAAATTCAGCTGCTTCTCTTAGTTTCTGACCAGTTAGTATGGAAACACAAAAACAATATATTGACCTATTTAGTATAGGACATATAGCAGCTACGACAAGACATATATACAAAGATAAACTACACTTATCTGCATCAGATGATGATGAACTTGTGTATTTCTTGGCTGATCGAGCAAAAAACCTAGATAGAGGCTTCTTAAGGCATCTTTATCATCAATTCTGTGTCTCTTAACTTGGTGATTGAAATGATAGAGAAATGTTTAGTTAATTGCAAGAAATAGTTGATCAATATAATAATTCAAATAATGAAAAAGCAATTCTCTAAATACATAATTCAACTACTAACACACTTTTTATTCTTTGTATTATGACAGGTTTGATGAGAAGAGTATATGAAAAGATTCTTGAGGCTAGTGAACTTTGTTATCTGAATGCATCTGCAGCATTTGATCTACTTAATACATCTATTAGTCTTCTTTATACAAATTGCTCAGTTGGTAAAAATAATATAAAATTTTAAAAAGTTTAATTATGAAATTTTTAATATAAATTTTAAATTTTAATAATTTAAAAAGGTGCACTACTATTAGAAATATTTTTAACATTGAATGAAGCTAAAGTTACAATTGAAAACACAATAAATTTACTTAAAACAATCCCACCAAACAATGCCTTCTCTGGACACGGATCACAAGTTGGCTCTAAAGTAATTATTACTGATGTTACGTTAGTTTGACTTCTTTAACAAGACCAACTAACTAGAGAGACTAATAACAGTGAATACTTCATGTAACGTC